GAAGAGCGTACGATAAGAGTAAGCAGACGATGTCGATAGAAGACGATTCGTGGGATCTTCCTCAAAGTCAAAGAAAGATAAAAATGAGCTAAAGTATGCCCAGCCCATGAAATTAGATGTCGAATGAGTACGATTTCGAGCATAAAGAGAGAAGAAAAAGGAACTGCAAGAATCTAGGTTTAGCAAGATAGCTGCCAGAAAGACTGAGCTTAGGTGCATAGCGCTTAAATAAGTGGTTGAAGAGTCGCTTTCCATCTCGACAATGACTACTGACTTTCCATTTTGGGGATTTCACTTAAAAGACTGGACTTCAAGCAGCAATGAGAGCAAAGGCAAGGAATTGATGCGCCAATAATCGAAGAATGGGGCAAGGCAAATTTCCAGACAATGGCAAGTGCTTGAGAAGGAGCTGTGAAAGAAGGGGCTGCTAGATAATAGGGAGCTCTTGAAGAAGAAGGGATTGCGGGGTGAACGGCATTCTGTTGTACTACTAACACTAGTTGTACTAGAGTAGTTTAGTAGCGCCTTTTGAATCAAATAGGCGAGCCCTTTCCAAATCCGAAAGGCGAACAGCCCGCTTTGCAAGCAAATAGATATCCCCCGCCCGTTTGAGTCGTTGCGAGCCGGAAAGCGTACCGGCAGTTTGAGTCACGAAAGGGCCACTTGCTTAATCTTAATTTTATTATATATATACAAACAAAGAAAAAAATAATTTTTTTATCAAATTGTTCATTCCTGGCCTGGGAAGAGGAAGAAGCAGATAGAGCAAAGGCCTCCTCTTTCCGTCCACTCTTCCCGAAGTGAGCGAATTGCATGTAGAGATCTGTAGGGGCTTATAGTTTAATTGGTTGAAACGTACCGCTCATAACGGTAATATTGTAGGTTCGAGCCCTACTAAGCCTAGCACCCCCTTCTCTTCACCCGATACAAGAAGGCAGTCGAAGTCCCCTCCACTCTTCATTTTTTGGGAAGACATCGTGTTCCTAGTCGATTTCCCTCATGGCACTGCCCCCTTAATGCTACGAAGTGAAGCAGGCATAGAGACCAACCATAGGGTATCTATCCTGTGATCCAACCCCGGCTCGGTATCGGTAGTCTCAGTCTTTCCCTGCCCTCCCTGGTATGAGTTGAGAGTCTAAGAGGGAGTCTTATTCTACTCTAGGCTCACTCCACCCCCTGTGTTGTCTTATTTCAGGAGGGACTAGATTGTTAAGAAATCCCTGACTCTGTCTTTGGGCTAAAGCCTATAGTTCTCTCCTCACTAACGGAAGTCTCTTAGTAAGTAGCATCATCTCTTCCGGGGGGAAAGCCTAAGTGTGATCGGTGGATCTGGAACTGACTGTTTAAAGCTGGTTCGCGAAATGTCGCGGAAGCAAGAGTCGCCACCGTCTTTTATTTTCTCCAAATGGAAAGGACGAAAGCACAGAAAAATTCCTTAAAGAGATTGCTCTCGGTTCGGGAGGTAGGTTATAGAAAGGGAAGGTGTTAGCACCCTTTCTATCCATGGTTATCCATGGGCTCTTAGATACTTGCTCATTTGTGTTTTCAAAAATGGTTTGTTTGCTTTTCAACTGTGGGTTTTAAAAAGTTTCCTTGAAAATTCCAGTTCGACTCTTGTATCTGTCCTCAAGAGTGTTTGAAAAATTGCTTTCGAAAGCTTTTTGAAAAGGTGTCGGTGTGAAAAGTATTTTGATTTGTTTTGAAATTTAGAGCAAGTATCCACGAGAACCTACCTACCCTAAGGAATTCGTCTGTGTAAATGTCCTTTAAAGTAGTGCCATCCCACCATTGAGAGGTAGGTAGCACCACCGTTGGAGGTGTTCGGGTCAATTCGAAGTTCGGGACATGGTGATCACCGGAGCAATGGGAAGACACCTTAGAAGCTACCCTCATGCCAGGTTCCCGGATCATGAGGACTTACTAAGACATCCTCTACTCGACGATCACCTTTCGAGGCAAGGCAACAGTGAGGCGTACCCTAGGGGTGGTGTGTGCGATTTGTGTGTCGTTTTCATTTGCATTTGTCTTGTCATATGATTGGTGTTCTACGCTTGATTTTATTTTAAGGCCATTCATTCTTGCATGCTTTGTTTAACAGTTAAAAATATTTGCGAGGAAAAGTAAATCTAAAGCTATTACAAATGGCGCGGGTCCACATCGCCAAAATTATCCAGGACCCGATTTGACAGAAAAATAAAGAAAGTAAAAGTGCGAGAAGTAATTACAAGGCTTCGGGAGAGGTACATAATTTTTTAAGCGAAATAAAATAAATATGCGAACGAATAAGAAATTAAACGAATCGAGGGCGTTGGACCCTTTTGCAAAATATTAAAATTACATGAATTAATTAAGAAAAGAAATTGTTTTTGTTTTTTTGGTATTTTTATGTATTTTAGGGTTTAATGAAAAAAAGAATTAATTAGAGTTAAAATAAAATGCTAAACCTAATTCTAATTATTTTAAGTTATTAAGAAAAATATTGAAGTTTTTTAACCTAAATGAAACCTAATTTTATTTATATGCAAATTAATTATAAAAATAAATAAAATAAATAACATTATGGTGAACACGAAAATTAAAAAGGAATAAAACATTAATTAAACCTATTTTTACATTTTTTAGATTTTTGTTAAAAGAATTAAAATTGCAAACCTAGTTTAAAACTAATTTTATTTACATGCCAATTTATTTATGAAAATATTAGAAATTAAAATTATTTATGGTATTTTCCTTTTTTCTGATTTTTATTGTATTTTATAATTTATGAAAAATATTAAATTGATTAAAAGAATAATTAAAAGAAAATAATAAGAAGAAATTGAGAAAATTGCAAACCAAGGGGGTGGTAGTCCCAAATTAGGAGGTTTGGCCTTAGCAATTTGGCCCAGTTAAGCATGGCCCTTCTGACTTTTTGCATGACACGTACATATGCGTTGACTAGGGTTTTCTGTGTTCCTCAATCCTGAGCCTTTGATCTGATTCCATGGGACGCGTGGTTGGCTTGATGATGAGGGAATATGATGGTTTTCAATGTTGAGCCTGCACAGAATTACTGAACACAAAATAATATGAAGAAGGTCAAGACCTGGGGTTCGAACCCAGGTCACTAGCATCACCAATCAACACCTGTGCCACTGAGCCACTTCAAACGCTTTTGACATATAATAGTTAACAAATATTATAAAAAGAAAGAAAAGTATGTGGTTTGAAAACACGCGAAATTTAAAAGAACCAATTACTCCCTGACACTGCATCACCTTCTTCGCTTTGTTCATTTTTTCTGAAAATACAAAACATAGGCCACGGTTTTATCACCGTTTCAGAATGGGTCTTTTGGGAAAATAGCGATTAGGCTATCCTTGAACATAAATTAGGCGCGAGGGTCCTATCTTCTTCGTCCAGACGTGCTAAATCCAATTATGGTATTGAGGATGTCCAATTTTACAGCACCTGAAAACCCCTAATTTACAGTTCTGCAAACCCTAAAAGTTATCAATGGCAAATCTCCAAATATGGCACGAAAACGAAATTAGACTACATGGTTAGCTTCAGAATACGTTAATCAGTATGAATGCATAAAAAAAACGTAATGAAAATGTCTAAATGTGGAAACACGATTATGCATTTTGTTTGACACAGTTTGAATCCATGGTACCAATTCTGGGCGTATGAAGGTTGGAGAGTGATCCAATTAGCTTCAGGGGAACACAAGGAAGCTTTTGCAATTGGTCTTGTGCTTTTAATCAACCTAGAACCTCCTTTTCAGTTTTGAGCTTTTTGGCCAAAATTTCAAGTTTGTTCTTCAAGCTTTTGAGCAGCTGCGTGGTATTTGTGATTAGGGTTGTGATTATGCTTATGTACTGAATGCATTAGGTCAAAAATATTGATCAAAATCTCTTGAATTAATGGTTTTTGAAGATTTGATTTTCAAGCTTTTTAACCAAATATTTTCCATGCTATTTTTGCACAAATCATATCCAATTGCTCCAAATCTTTCCTTATTGACTTAGGCACGAAATCTTGAGGCTAAAATATGTACAAAAAGATTTGAAAACTTAGGTTAGCATTTTTCATATATTTAATTTGATTTACATGAATTAATATAAATAAAAATTCAAATAAATAAATAAAAAATGAGAAAATACTTCCCTTTGGGCCAAGTGGTCGTGCACATGCTTGGAATGATGAATCATGGAAGAAAAATGGGCCCATTAGCAATTTTAGGTCATTTGAAGTAATGTTGACTTTTCAAAATATCCAAAAATTTCCCAACTTCCACAAGGCATAACTTGCTCAATTTTTAAGCTTTTCTCATGTTCTTGGACATTTTGGAAAGGTATTTGAGTCCTATAACCAATGCCTTTGGTCCCATGTCATTTTGATTTACCAATCTCAAGTTATGGTCTTTGACTTAAAGTCCCTTTTTGTTGACTTTTGAAAATGACCTATAATGTTGAAATTGATAACTTTTTGTGAGAGCATTTCTTGGACTTGAAGTATGAAGATGAGTTGTAGTAAATGTCTTTCTCTTCAAAATGAGCTTTGGATAGAATTTTTATGATAATCCATGTGAAAGTTATGCCCTGGTCAATTTCAGTTGACTTTTTCAGCTGTCCAAATAAGGAAACTTTTGCATCTTGATGAATTCTGAGCCAAATTTTGAGAATCATGATCAAGCATTGATCAAATGATGTTTGTGGCTTCAAAATGATGTGTTGACCAAAAATTTGAACTTCTGACTGTCAAATGACCATTTTGCCCCTTACAGTTGACTGTAGTGCAATTTAGGGTTTTGACTGTGCAATTTTGAGCTGAATGCCTTGAAACTTGGTATGAGGATGCTTGACCATATTTGTAGGCATGTAGGACTTGATTGGGCCTTTGAAAACTTCATTTTCTTGATCAGAACACAAACCCTAGTTTTGACTGTATGGGAGCCCTTTGCACTGTGCAACCCTTGGAGAATTTTGTAGCTTTGACTTGACAAATCTTGAAGAATA